ATTTTCATTCCATCCACTACTGATTACGATAGAAATCTGATATTGCTTTAGAAAGCAGAAATGAATGAAGATACCTCTTTATTTCAGCTTCTGTTGTTTGTGACAGAATGTATCAGCTGATGCTGAGAACAGGACAACCAAATACAAGTTTACGGGTAAGGACAGTTATAATTAGATGTTAGACCTGTTGGCATTCTTGCTAAAATAAACTATATAAAAATGAAATAATGGTTTTCAGCATCTATTTTTAAGACCATTGGCTTGAGAACATGTAATATCAACTTCACCAATAATCATTTTTGTTTGATAACTACATTTATAATCACACCATGAGGATATTTTTCATAGTTTAACATTGTTTATTTTTCATAGTTTAACATTGTTTGTTTGCCAAATTGTTCTCCTTGAAATAAGATGAGGTAAAGGTACTGTATCCATAGAAATGAAAAAAGATCATAAATTTAAAGTGACTGAATTTCAAATGAAAGTACAGTCCTCAGAAAATGGATCAAATAGATTATTGATAATAGTATTAAATTTTTTTGCAGCAATATATTGTGAGCAAGAGATTTGATCTCCTTTTCCCTCGAGCAGCTGCATACTTAGAAAATCCAGGTCATTTTAACCTAAATCAGCGAACTGAGGGAGTGGACAAATATTTAGCTGACCTTTCTGCACTCCAGAATCTGTCTGCTCTGTCTCGCCAGATCAACACCGATTTATCTAATTTATCTGACCATAAATACATAGCTCATCAAATGGCAATACTCTATGTAAGTATCTAATTTATCTGGCCATAAATACATAGCTCACCAATGGCAATACTCTATGTAAGTATCTAATTTATCTGACCATAAATACATAGCTCAACAAATGGCAATACTCTATGTAAGTATCTAATCTATCTGACCATAAATGCATAGCTCATCAAATGGCAATACTCTATGTAAGTATCTAATTTATCTGACCATAAATACATAGCTCAACAAATGGCAATACTCTATGTAAGTATCTAATTTATCTGACCATAAATGCATAGCTCAACAAATGGCAATACTCTATGTAAGTATCTACAGTACAGGCAACGCGGATCCTGTATTTCCCGCGCCCCGTCGCGGTATAATCACAACGCGGTATTTGGCCAGGTGAGACAGGTAAACCGCGTTCCCTCCGCGGGGATTTCATCACCTACCTGTCCCCGCCGCGGTTAAATCATCGATCTATTACTGACAATTAGTATCGTAAACAAACGGGAGTTATCTCCCCGAATTGTAATTTGCGAATTTTCCCCGTAACAAAAAAATAATGACACTGTATGTTTCTTAAAAGAAGTATTTTCATTTATGTTGCTATGATGAATAGAAAATAAACTAAGAAAAATATATTTATTTTTGTTTCTAAAATTATATATCAATTTTTGAATTAGAATTAAAAATTTTATTCAATTGGTTAATTTTTTGCGTTATTGAGAGTCTAACAAGAAACAAAATTAGATACTAGAAAGATTAGGGTTTTTTTTTTTTTATTTATTCATATTATATGCGAACTTTAATACTGCTGAACTCAGACAGCGTGAGTTCGATAAACGATTTTCATGCAGCATTCATTTGAAAAAAAAAGTACAATTAATCTGAAAAAAATGTACATCCTCATATTGTTTATATTCTTTTCCCAAATTTAGAACACTTAATTTAATTAATTTCGCTTTATTGTATAAATGTGCAGGCATTTTTCTTAAAGTGTCAAATAACGGGAAACATTCGATGGCCAGAGTTTGCAGTTACATGTAGTGGGCACGTGAACTTAAATTTTCTTGATGCAGGATATCAAGAAAAAAATCTTTTCTTCTTTTTTTTCTCATTGTTTGTGTTCTTTTCCCAAATTTAGAACACTTTTAAAAAATTTATTTCGCTTTATTATTTAATTGTGCAGGCATTTTTCTCAAAGTATCAAATTACCGGAAAGCATGAATTTTATTTTGATGGCGATAGTTCACTTTGCAGTTACATGTGAACTTTATATGATATCAAGAAAAAATATCGCTTCTTCACCTTCATATTTACATGTGTTTCGTTTGTAAACAATTTGTCTTTCTTTTTTAATTTTAATATTTCTCCATTTTCACGTGCAGTAAAATAAGATAGGATGTGCAGGTATGGTGATAAACTTCACAGAACAAATTAAACTAAAGAAGAGGGATGTATTACACTTAAGTTTTTAATAATATTCAATGAATATAATACTAATCAAATACTTTCGATTTCTTTGCCAATTTCTGTTTCTTTGTGTATTAAGTATTAGCCGCGATCATTTCCTGTGTATAGGGATTAGCAGTCCCAGCACAGGAAACGGCATGCCCTGGGGGTTTCACACCTGTCCTAGAGTACCTTGAATAACTCTCTCTGAATGTGCACATCGTTGTCTAGCATTTCAACATAGCATTTGATTCAATGTTTCATTATTTCATCGATATCATTTTCAAATGAGATAACCGCCTTGAAATTTTAGTCAATATATTATTGCATTTTTAACTGAGTGTAAAAAAAACAATAAAACTTTTAAAACAAATTAATGATTAAAGTATTTGAAATTAATGAAATCAAAATAATGATTCATTACTATTTTATTTACGTGTCTTTTTATACCTGTACCAATTAGTAGATTACGAGAGAGAGAGAGAGAGAGAGAGAGAGAGAGAGAGAGAGCATTAAAATATCAACTTGAGGCACGTGCAAGACCGTTTTTCCTCGTTTTGAATTGATCAGTATAAAAATTATTGATTTCTCAAGTCTATCGAATGAAACTAAACTAAACATGATATAATTTTAATGAAATTGCTAATGGATCAAACTTTGTAAAGTTCCATAATAATCATTGCCGTGAACAGATACATGTACATGTAGATCTTGCTGTCGCTGATTTATCAGTTTATTATTTTTGTGGATTTTGTCGAATTACATGTAATATGCGAGTTTAAGGAAAACACAGGAACAGTTATAGCTAAACACCCAATATTTAACTAAAGTAACAGCTTGATATGATAGTTTCGAAGACATTTATTAATCTTATTCATAATTGTTCGTCCGTGTTTCTTCATGATGCAAGATTACGTAATGTGAAGGTATTGCAGGTATCTCGTTAAGGGTATAGACCAGTTACACAGACACCTGAAAACTTGAAGCATGACAATTTGCACTTAAAATAATTTTAATAATTTCTGTGCTGTGTGTTCAAATTATTTTAGGGCCCGTATTAAACGGCTGATAGAAGAGTCAGCCTTTCCGATCGGCGATACGTGAAATTTGTTCAACATTTTCATAGACATGACTTTAATAATTTCTGAAAAGAGCAGAAAATAGAACTACAGTAAAATACTAGCTATGAAATTATTGATATTCTGAATAGAATGACTTTATAACCCCCCCCCCCTCGCCTTTGTATAAAAGGCATTTTTTAAAATGAAACCGATGGCTGTGATAGAACCTCGCAGATAAATAAACACATAGCTACATGTATACTGCAACTGCACAAGCTAATCGTGAACACTGGATGACGGTGCATATAAAAAAAGCTATATGGCATTCTTTAAATTCTAAAATTAATTCTAATTATTTAATTTATTTATTAAATTGCAATTTGAAGATCATTTGTGGCGAGATTATTGATTTTATAAATAAATATGATTTCATAAACATATTCAATAAATTTTACTACATTTACTATATTTCACCCAATATAACTCTTAACAGACGCGTTTGAGTGACTGTTGCAATCTAATTAAAATTATATGTTAGATCCGCTCGCATACTCTCTACAGTATGCGAGCGGATCTAACATCTAATTTTAATTAGATTGGTGACTATTGGTACATGATTTTTATTAAAGAATTTGATAAAACTTAAAAATGATTTAAAAAAAAAAAAATTCATCTAATGGTATTCATGATTTTAATGTGGACGTAGTCTTAAATGGCTAACCCCCCCCCCCTTTTTCGACACGATTAAAAATCGACAAGTCATTACAGGTAACAACATCTAAGCTGAAGAATAACGGTAGCTGGCCCCGCCGCGGTGTAAACACGGTCTCAGGTAGCACCGCGATCAAAACCCGCGACGGTGTAACGCGGAAAGGATTAATACACCGCAGAGGGGACGCGGTCTAATACGGGATCTGAGTTGCCTGTACTGTAATTTATCTGACCAAAAATGCATAGCTCAACAAATGGCAATACTCTATGTAAGTATCTAAACCATTACAGATATATTGTAAGTGTACTTTAAAAAGAAGGCGTCATATTTTAGTGGCTTTGCCACTGAGAACCATGCACTAATTCATGAATACCACTAACAAGTCATTTGTAAATACAATACATGACTGAATTTTGAACAGTGGTACACCAATTTATGTACTTGTTCAGTATGCCTCGTAAAAGAAGTATCAAAACTGAATGGAGTTAAAAGAAATAAATTTACAAATACTACTTTATTTACAGTTGTTGTCAGATATCTGTAGATATACATACATGTAAATATGTTTTCTTTCAGCAATCGTTGAACAATGTAGGGCATACCTTATTAGATCCATACAAAAAGAGCATAGAGGAGAACTTCAAGTCCATTAAAACCACACTCAGTGAAGACAGAGAGACTGGAGGAAAACAGCTGTATCCTGAACAATTAGAATGGTTGGTACCAAATATGGGAGCTCTTTATATAAGATTGAACAGGATCTTAAAATAGAGAGGGGGTTCTCAATTAATTAAACTCATGGCTCTCAATCATCTAAAAATGGAGGCCTTTGAAAGGCCCCATTCCCAGTTCAAAAAGTACCTTTTTTTCCATTGAATGTGATTAATTTCCTCAGTAATCATTTTGCCCCACATTCAAGAAAAATTGTTGGATTTATATTTTATCTTAACTTTCTACTCATATTCATGTTTTGAAAAAATTATATGATAACAAACACCAGAAACCCAATAAAGATTTTAATGTACCATGATTTTCTGAAGATTCAAATAAGATCGCTAATTTTCCCCATTTCTATTTCCCTTGCCCCAATATAAACCTGTTATAATGAATTGATATGAAGTGTTATTAGCTGAACCTATAACAACATTAAAGTTATGAGGGGCTACAAAGCCGCTACATCAAAAAATTTTGCCTGATAATGAAAGTAGGAAAGTACAAATCTGGTCAATGTTAACATTATCAATTCATATAGATAGTATACTAATAAAAAAAATTGGAGGGGGCTTACACAAGAATTCCATCCCATATACTTTACAATGACCTTGGATCAATAACATTTTCCTTTTTTGTAGGTTTCTGAATTTAACTAGTGGCATAGTCAACACGATCAACAGCTTTCCTCCAGAGTTAACAGCTGAGATGTCTCAACCTGCCAATATTATCAAGAATACCTCTACATAAACTTCAGGAACCCCTGAACCTCAAATAACTTCAATTACATTTTCTCTTATCCTCCAAAGGACCTTGCTGTAGATTTCAGACATACATGATTTAACGCAAGTTGATGTCAGAAAAATGTTCCAGCTACCACCCTCAAGAGAATCTCAATGAAAATCACAGCCATCTGTTATCCTTAGTGGTTTGGATTCAGACAATGTAATTAGGTCAAATACAGACACAGATGGATGGTGATAGATAGCAGTAGGGTACTCCTAACACAGAGCTACTCAAGTCAGCTGACATTCCCTTTTATCCTCATTTGTATGGACATGTAGTCCCATTTTAAAATGTACATTTACCCACATCTCATGAAAGTATTGTATTTATAATTTATAGATCATGATGATCAGATCCCTTTTGTGTTCAGTGCAATTCATAATTTTGAGTACATGTATTTCATATTGCTTCAAAAGCTTGTTATATTTAGGTCATATATGTATACATATGTCAGTACATGTTATTGTTGTCAACTACACTCCATGATCTCATAGAACAACTACATACCTGTAGCAGAACTATGAACAATATAATCTATAATTATAGATAGTATCATTCATTGCCTTTTCCAAGAGTGCATTTTTATTAGTCATTTCTTAGCTTATTAATGCATGTAGGCTCTATTTTTAAAACCCCCATGAAAGAAATGTTGCCAATATGCCTTAGCCTGTGTAACAAGCATAAATACCTAACTCGGTGTTTAAAACTAGTCCATCTGTCCATAACGAATACACATTCTAGAGTTACAGTATAAATTAGTTATAGCAAAATTGTACCACATTTTTAGGCTTGCCTAATCCTGTCCATACAGTACAAGCCGTTTTATTTAATACCTGTTTTATATCATAGGCCGTTTTTTATCATAGATATTTAAAACACAAAACCATTTCTTAATAATTCAATGTTAATTTCTTACGTTATTATCATAGGTAAAAGTGTGTACTTCGGTTACTATCATAGAAAAATTTCGTCCGTAATATTTTTTTCACACCTTTTTCACTCTGGAGACAAGTAACAAAACAAAAGATAACACCTGTCAACACCTGTGGCCCATGCACTGTCGCTTATCTATACACAATGGCTTGACTGAGGGGGATTAGTCACACTCCAGTGATTTACCTGAGCGATGACTGGAAGTTTGTTTATTTCACAAAGTACATTACACAACAACAGGAAGCCATCCGCAATCTTATTTTCTTCTTTTGTTTAATTGTACTTTGATAATAAATGTGTTTTACCAAAATGTGTTGAATCTAAATTAAGTGTCAATTTACCCAAGCTATCTTACGCTTGTTGCCTGATCAATGGTCATAATTAATCAAATTTATAAATTTTTCAATTTATTCAGAAGTGCTATGAAATTAACTTTTTAACCAGCCTGTCCAAGCGGCTTTGATTTACATCAGTATATCAATTAATTTAATTTCAATTAAACGGCACCATTAAGTGTAATTAGCGCTTGGGTGCAAGGAAGAAAATAATTGGGCTTGTGTTTGAGATGAATTTTCCCTGACACTTAATAGCTTGAAGGTTAAAAAAGAATGAGAAAGAATTAAACAATTTTAATTCATGTTCTGTTATGTTGTAACATAATTTTGATACCGTAAATATTGTGTAGTTGGTAAGCAAGTTGTGTTATGCTGAAATGTTGAACTAACATTTTTGTAACTAAATGTTTTTTTCGTTTGTACGTTTTTATATACTTTTTATAGATATTTTCTCTTATCAGGGTTTAAACTTAACGCTCGCCCACTCGCAAATTGCGAGTAAAAATTGGTGTGGGCTCATAAAAATTGTAAGTTGCTCGCCCACGTGGCGAACAAAAATTCTGCAGGGGGCCGAATTCATTCCCAGTCCCCTTACTGAAAAACAGACATTTTATGCAGGTTTTTTATTTAAAACTACACAAAAATGAAATAAATCACAGCAGTATGGTCCTACTGTTCGTAAATATCCTTCATCTTTTCCATTTAAAGTACTACATGATTTTTGAAATTCCCAAAAACGATCGTTTTTTTCCTAATCCGAATTTCCTCCAACCCTCTGTAAATGGTTGATACGTGAGAGATGTACAATTTTATAAACTCCCAACTAATCAGTCATATGAATAGTAAGTGTTTTCACCTATTTCAGATATGTTGTAGCTAAAATATTTAACCTAGAAAATCTTATTGTGTCATTGTCAATTTATCAGTTGAAGACATGTACCAGGGCTATGTATTTATATACATGTATTACCAAGTAAAAAAAAAAACGATAGTAAAAATGTTTTTTGAATACAATTCTATTTCCTTTGATTTAATATTTATATGATTTCTGATTTTTATAAAGTAAGAACTCCAATTTTAAACAGATGAATTTATATATGTATTTCATTTGTATCTAATTTTTGTCCCAGTATCTATGCTTTTTAAAAAAATCACAGAGACTGTGGGCTAACAAATTTAGCAGTGGGCTCCTAAATTTGAAAAGTCAGGGGCCCACATGGCTCGTGGAAATTTCAGTTAAGTTTAAACCCTGCTTATTGTTTTGTGTTTCATTAAAACTGCAATGTAAAAAAAAAAAAACAAACGAATTATTAATAGATTGAATTGATCATAGAACCTAAAAACGAAAGTAGATCAAAATGAAAGTTAACAAGATGGATGCCAAGACATCTAGAAGATTGAGTTCAGAGATTATTAAGCTTTAGGAAAGTGAATTTATTTATACAAAATGTTGAAACAGTAAGTAAAAAAAGTAAAATGATATGTTAGCTAACTTGTTTTTCAAAATAAACCTAAAAATATGAAATTAATACAATAATACTTATTTAAAAAAGTGTAAAAACGGCAGGCATGTTATTGATCAAGTCATGTTCATGTCAGACCTCGGAGATAAATTTCAGCTGTCTATGGTTATAATCATAGTCGGTTATTATAAAGTTTTGGCCTGACAAATAAGCTATGATAATAAACGGCTTGTACTGTACTAGTAAATGTGATAGACATGTAGAATTCTCAAATATAAAACTGCTGAGATTTGTTGTATTGCTGTCAAATTATAACTTTGAATTTTATTTTCTCTGATAATTTTTTGTTTCTTTGTATGTG